GAGGGAGAGAGAGAGAGAGAGGGAGAGGGAGAGGGAGAGGGAGAGGGAGAGAAAGAGAAAGATGCAGTAGGCGTACGACACCGTCGACCGCTATTCGCAGTAGCAGATTTCGATCCGAGAAGCAGTCTCCTCGGTTTCTTTCCGAGCAGCAACGATGGGCATTTTTGTGAGGTTGAGTCGTGCTTTTCCCAAGCATGCCGTCGAGAGGAGACGAAACAGCAGACACTCACACAAGCAGCCGATCGTGCATCCGGGTTCCTATCGAGAAGCAACAAGTTCTGGTTGTTCGTTTTCACGCCGACCTGAGGTAATAGCGGTCGCCGTTTAAGCCGAGAAGCAACCGTGCCATGTCTTGTTCACAACCGAAGCTTCAGCTTGCCGAGAACTTTATTCGCGAGTAGCCGAGCAGTGGGTTTTATCGATCTTTATCGAGGCCGAGTTCGAGAGTCCGAGGCCATTGATTTTCATCTCCTTCAGCCTTCTCGTTAAACATCCCGAACTAAAAATACATCTAATATGATAAAAAACATCACAACCTAAGCATACATCTAATATGATAAAACATAACCAAAGGCATATAAATAAGTAAACTGTCTATAACTGTTGCTAACCTTATTGCCAATTACTATAATTGATGCTCAACTGACTGTGTATAACTGCTGCTTAACTGACGAGAAAGACATTTGGCCTTCACGCTTGCGAGATCCAACCGTAGGACCTAATCTGTAGGGCATTGCCTATGCTTAGGCAAAACTAACTTTTATGCACTTCTAAAGTTGGAGCTCAACCCAGAGCTGTACTAGAGTCCTGATTTTGACTGGAGTTTGAAACACTTGGATATAAAGAAACCTGTCTCTAGGGCAATGCCTCTTGAGGATGAAATATTCTAAAACTCAAATCTGTACTAAGGTCCTTAATTCACTTAACTCAAAGCTTCACTAGAGTTCTTATCTCAACTTAACTAGCGTTCGGATCACTTAGCTAGAAATGACCTATTCGCTAGGTTATTGCCTTTATTCAGGCAGACTAACTCTTACATAATACCTCAGCCAAGATAATGCGATTATAGGAAATGTAGCACCCAATACAGGATCCCCAGATAGGTGATGAAAGGCAAATGCTGAACATATGAGTAGCTGGTGGAGGCTCGACTCTCCTTAAGCTACAAAATATTTGAGCAAAAATATTTTAAGTACAATGCTCAATTTGACGAACTTGAATTTTATTATCTGATCTTATTAAGTTCGCTCGCTCGGTTTTGAGATCACTTAATCTCAGTTTAAAAAATTACGGGCAAATTAGAAATTTAATGTCTTGAGGCTTTCTAGAGTTCTATGAAATATTTCTAAGTTCGAGAACTAAATCTGACTTGGTTCAGAAAGATACAAAAATCTCGGTTCACGCTCAAACCGATATTCCGAACTAAAAACTCCCGAACCATCTGGACTTCCCCAAATGATTTGGTTGGACTGGAAATCTCTCGAACCGTCCGGATTGCCCGGACCAATTGGACTGGACTGGACCGACGACTCGCTCAGAACCGACCGTTCGCTCGTTGGCTATATGCAGCTTGGCTCAATCGTGGTCCGAGCTCAGCGTAGCAACTCACGGGCACGCATGAACATGCCTGACAGGCTTCATCGACGCACGAGTTTTAAACGGTTCCACGGTCACTGGCGCAGGGGCGCGTTTGGACCACGGCTAACAGAAACAACGTGTTGACGGGTAGCTAGGTTGGACAGAAGCACGGGCGTTAGACAGTAGCAGAAGCGCGGCTCGGTCAAACTCGATGCAGGGCACACACTCAGTGGCTCGGCTCAAACGATAGGATAAGAGTGGGATGTGTGTGGGACATCTATACGCGTTATGGATTCGTGCTAATGTTTGCCGGTTGGTTGGCTATGCTTGCTACGAGGCACACGACCTCAGTAGCCTTCTTAGGCTCGGTTGCGGTCTCGCTGGCAACTCGCCGCCCGGCCGACCACATCTTTGACAACCCAAGGATTAATTAGTAACCTTATGACGTCCAGAGTCATTTAATGCTACTAGGGTTTAGTGATTATGCTCGGATCTTAAAGTTACACGTTGCTCAAAACGACCGATCTAGGGTTTTCTACTTCACCGAGCAAGCTTACTCATTTTAATATGAAACTTTAACCAGATAATCACCACAATATATGAGGATTTAACTTCTATCAACCTCAGCAAGATCTCAACAATTTAATCACTTAAACATCCACAAAAATAGGCTCTAGATCCTGATTTTTAAACCATATCAAATAATCTCCAATATTCACGAAATTTTAATCACAACCTCCTCAACATACATATGATTTTTTATTAAAATATAACAACAAGATTCAACCTCTAACTCAATCAACTAAAATCGGGCATTATAGATCTAGATCTACAATTTCGGCTCATATAGCAAATGGACTCCAAAAGTTACCAAATTTTAACTTTGGCCTCAAGACAATAAGATAAGATTATGGAGTTGGAATCACTTATCACTTGTATTTCTCGAGATATAAAATCATGTATTTAAACTCATAAAATTCTAAATTTATTCATTCATCAACATTTTTCATGATTTAGCATTTTATAAATTATTTTAAAATTGTTGTCTAAGTCATAGGAGGAAGGGTTTTTGGATCTACCTATTAAAAGGCTCGAAAACAAAAAAAATAGAAGTTGATAGGGTTAGCTGGGGAACGTCTTGGGCGCTGGGGAGCTGCTGGCGGCCTGGGAATGCGAGGCTGCGCGCCGGAGTGCGCTTGCGGGCGCTGGTAGCCTGTGGACGCGCGCGCGGGGCCTGAGTGATACGAAAGTGGTTATTAA